AGACAACTTTGGTCCTTCCTCCATGTCGATGGAGAGACTCAGGACCTTGGTTCTTCAGTTTAACCTTCCCAGAGACCTCATCTACAATCTCCCTTCCGGTGACTATCCTTGGGAGCATGGTCCCGACGAAATCGTGATCTTCCAAGAACAACTCGTCGCTGGCCTTCGTATTCCTCTGCATCCTCTGATAGTGGAGGTTTTGAACCACTTCAATGTTACTATTGACTAGCTTCACCCCAACTCGATCCGAAATGTAGTTGGGACTATTTCTTTATTTTATGAATACTGTCTTTCTCTTGACCTTGACATCTTCTCCACCATTCTTTCTATTCAAAATGCTTCCCCCGGAGCGCCTCCAGAAAGGAGTTCCTATTACTTTTCTCCCTGTCCTGGCTTCAAGCTCTTACACGATCTGCCGAACAGGATCCCAGCTTGGAAGCGGGATTACTTTGTAGTTTTCAACCCCGAAGGGTGGCCCTTTTCAACCCACTGGAAGGCCGCCGTCTAGGATTCGGGGGTTAACTTGGATCCAAAGGTTCGGGAAACGCTGCTGTCCTTGGCAGTAGTTGGCTTCCATTGGTCGGACTACTTGACCGAGGATAAGCTCGTGCAGGCAAGCCTGAGCCCTGGTAGGTTTCCTTTTGAGTCGCGCGATGCCTTGTTTGTTTTTTTTTTTTTAGCTGGACTAATGCCTTGTGATTTTTGGCAGCCAATATGTCTGGTGTAGATGCGCGCCGCCTTCTATCAAGCAACCAGAAGCGCAGGGTGAAGAGGTCGTGCCCTGACCGAGCTTCCACTTCTGGGAGCGCTGAGTTCGAGGCTGCTGATCCAGCCTTCATCCCGCCACTGCCTGAGGTCCCACCAGTCCCGTTCGAGGGAGTGGCCACGGAAGGTGGCCTTGAAGAAGGCGAGCTCCCGGCGCAAGGGCAGTACCCTCCGTCTGAGCCGTCCCACCCCTACGTCGACGCGCAGTTCCCTACCAGGAACTGGGAGAGCGTCACCGACTTCACCGTGGCTTCGCGAAGGAGCCGGAAAGCAATCATCGACGAGGAGGTCGCCAGCTGGGGAGGGATGGACCCTAAGTAGCTCGCCAGGCTGGTCTCATCCCACTACATGGTGGTAAGTGGCTTCTTTCTTCTTTTCCTTTCTTTTTTTCTTCTTTTCTCTTTTCTGACCTTGGCCTTTTTGACCATGGTCCTCCAGACCAACATCCACTCTGGCGACGCTCTCACCCAGAGGTCAAACATGCAGAAGCTCTTGGGCGAGCTCGATCGGGCCCGAAGTGAAGTTCTTCAGGCTCGAAAGGGGAGCGAGGCCCAAGAGCTGCTCGTTAGGGGTGTTCACGGGTTGGGTTGGGTCGGTTTATTGGGGTTTTCCCAACCGACCCGACATGGTCGGGTTACCTGAGGTGGAAACCGAAACCGACCCACTGATAGGACAAAGCGACCTGATCGGTTTGAGTCGGGTTGGGTCGGTTTGGATTGGTTTTAGTTTTGCTCTTGTACAAAAGGACACCTAATTGAATTCTAATTGTAATTGCCTAATGGGTTGCCTATTTGGTGTAAAAGATTATAGAAAGTTAGAAACTAGGATAGATTGCCTATTCTAATTGTAATAGCCTAATGGGCCTTCTAGTTCTAGTAGAAGACTAGTTATAGTTAAGTAGGAAACTACTCAAACTAGGAACTACCGAACTAGTAGAAGACTAGTTCGGTTCAGGTCGGGTTGGTTTCGGGTTGGTTTCGGTTTTCCATTGTTGTGTGACAACAATGGAGCGATCGCCTAGGCTAAAGAGCCTCGGGCCCACTCGAAGTCAAAGCACATCGAGAGGAAGTACCATGTACTGCGGGAGATCGTTGGTAGAGGGGACGTCCTAATTCAGAAGGTAGCATCAGCAGATAATGTGGAAGACCCATTAACTAAGCCACTAAGACAGAAGTTGTTTGAGAAACACGTGGAAAGTATGGGACTCTGGCTTGTACCAGATTGAACCTAAGTGCAAGTGGGAGCTGTTAGACAGTTTTGTATGCCCTTAGCTCCAATAAGTTTTGATGTACTTTTGACATTTAGTGTAAATAACTAAAGTACGTGTTTGATTCATGTTGTGTGGTATGTTTTTGTGTAAGACCCTAAAATTGGACACTTAATGAGACTCGTGTTTGTTTTAAATGTTCACAGCCATTGGATATGTTTGGGGAGATTTATCCTGCCAAGGTTGACACTGGTGTGCTGCCAAATGTTGGGGTGACTTGTCTCAGCCGCCAGGGTGAGACCCAAGGCTCACGCAATGTAGGATTACTCGATTATGATATTGCACTAGGTGTCAGATTAGGCTATCTTTGATATGCCAATCAGTGAGATCCTTAGCGGGGGTCAAAACCTGGGTATGTTGGGACAGTCTAAGAATTCATCTGAGTGGGTGATCATAGTGACAAGATCAGCCCCTTTGTTGGACAAAGGTAATGATTGGGGATGCACTCTCTTTGATGGAAACCAAACTGCCATCAGTTG